AAAAAAAAAAGCAGTAAAGTTTGGCCCGGGTCAGAACCTCGTGTCTGAAACGATTCTGTGAGGCTGGAAACAACCTCCTCCTGCAACTCTTTCCCATCTGCTCCGAGCAGGGGCTCCTCACCGTGAAGGGGCTCCTCATGGAGAGGTCTCCGAGGCTCCGTCCTCCCTCCGCTGCCTCCCCCCACCGTCTCCTCCGGCTCTCTGAGCTCCGGTCCATTCTCTCAGTATATGGCCCGGGCAATTAAACCCTAAACTCATTCACAAGTTTTGGTGCTGCCAATAAAACCATAAACGTGCTTTTGTTTCCTGTTCTGAACTCTTGAAGCTCTAGCTGCCCTCCCTGAACTGTCGCTTTTAAAACCACTTTGCACAACTTTGGCCCCGCTGTCTCCCTCCATGTTCCTCCTGGAGGAGCAGCAGCAGCGCTCTGCTCGCTCCGTGCACACACTCACCTTGCAGGAGCCGAGATGTTCGGAACCAGGCTAAAAGAGAAAAAGAAAAGCAAGCCCTGCTCAGGCCGGACTCTCCGGTGCCTCACCTTGCGGCCTCATCCAGGGGAAGAGCTGCGTCGGCGAGGGGCTCTGCTCGGTCCCCTCCGCGTCCTCGCCGCCGAGTCCCGGCGCGCCTCCCAGCTTACAGTCGCTGTACTGGACCAGATCCGCGTCCTGGGCCCCGAAAAGCGTCTGCCGCTGCAGGGCGTCGTATCCATAGAAGTTGCCCGGCTCGCCGTGGCATGTGACCGCGCAGGGGCTCTGCTGGTACGGGTTGCTGGGCAGCGTGGAGGCGCTGTGGTGGTAGAAGTCCTGGATCTGCGGAGCGTGCTGGAAGGTGGCGCCGGAGCCCGGGCCGTACACCACGGTGGGCCGGCTGCCGGCCAGGTCCTGCGCGAAACCGCACTCGTAGTAGTTCGGGCGTAACGAGTCCCCGCTTTTATATTTGGAGAAGAGCGAGTTGACGAAATATGAACTCATCTTTTGTGTTGTTGTTTAGTTTGTGTTCGGCTCGGTCGAGTCAGAGTGGGCTGGAGGAGGCGACCGGCGGATCTCACTTGTGTTTGCTTTTTTTTTTCTCTGCTGCTTCTGTCGTGCGGCGTGAAGCAGAGACACAGAGCAGCGGAGGGGAGGGAGAGCGAGGCAGGTCTGCCGCCGGTTGTCGGTGACCGTTGTTGTGGTGTTTCCCCCCTCACGGCCACAACACACCAGCCGGTCGCGGTGTGAGTAACGGTGACGGCAGCCGGCCAGCGCAGGAACCACCGCCACAACAACAACAACAACAACAACAACAATCACACCGATTCCATAAAATGTCCAGCGAGGAAGAAAAAGAAGAGGAAGGAGAAGGAGAAGAAGAAGAGGGTGAAGCGGAGGAGGAGGAAGGGCTCGTGCGCATCACAATTCCGGTGTTCGCGCTGTAAGCGGAGCCCTGTCGCGCTCTCAAACGGGTTTTCCGTGATTTACTCCTCTGCAAATGAGTTGTTTCATATTTTTTCTCCCTCTCTCTCTCTCTCTCTCTCTCTCTCTCTCTCTCCCTCTCGCTCTCTCTCTCCCCCCCTCTGGCTCGCTCTCTTGCGCGCGCTCTCTCTCCCTCTCTTTCTCTCTCCTCCCGGCTCCGGTGTGTGTGTGTGTGTGTGAGTGTGTGAGTCGGTTTCAGGGATAATTTGCATCTATTATCAGTTCTTCATCCCATTGGCTTTTCTAGACAAACGTGCACCAAACACTCGCGCGCACACACATTAACACACTCGAGACTCTCTTTTTTTTTTTTTTTGCACTTTTTCCTCCTTGTTTTTTTGCGCCTGCGCACGCACGCACGCGCCTGCAAAGCCTATAGATGATAGTGGAGGAGCTCTGCGCGCCTGTGATAATGCAAAGGGAGTGAGAGAATGAGGAAAGAGGCGAGAAGGAGAAGAAGAGGAGGAGGAGGAGGAGGAGGAGTGTGAAAAAAAAAGAATAGGTGCAGCATCAAGCAAGACAGGAGGAGGAGGAGGAGGGAGGGGGGTTAATGAGAATTCTGCCGCTTTGCATCTGATCAAGTACACACACACACACACACACACACACACACACACACACACACACACACACACACACACACACACACACACACACACACAAAACTACTCTTCCAGCCAACCAACCAAAAGAAGAAGTGATGGATTTTTTTTTCTACTTTGAAGCTGAGATTGAGGTTGGTTGGTGATGATGGTGGGGCGTGTGCGTGCGTGTGCGTGTGTGTGTGTGTGTGTGTGCGCGTGCTGAGTGCATCTCTCTCTCTCATTAACTGCTGCTTCTCATTTCTCCCCCTGAATCCTTAAAGTGAGCGCGCGTGGCTGCTGCAATGGGAGCGGAGTGAATGAGGCCCGAAAATGTCAGAGAGGCCGGTGGAGAGAGGTTCGCTCACACCGAGGAGAGAGAGGGAGGAGAGGGGGAGAGGAGAGGAGGGCAGCGCTTCCCTAATTGGTATCGGTTTTAACAAGTACTTGCCTATAAATGTAATTGAGGTTTTAAAGGCGGTTGTCGAGCCTTCCTGCCTTCCATTCCGTCCCTGCTGCTCCTGGACAGAAAATAAACGAGCTCCGACGCATGCTCTCTGATCATCGTATACTTTTATAAATTTGATCTCCATAAACATGTAAGGAGGACCGGGGAGGGTAATAGGCTCCGAGAAAGTGGCTGTAAACGCTTTAACAAACTATAAAAGCGGAGGCCAGTGTTTGCTTGTTTACGTCCTGTGCAGCGGAGAAACAAAAAATCAAAGCCGGGAGGTGGAGGGGGTTTACGACGCGCCCTTTGCGCGACCGGAGGCCGTAAACGCCTCATCCTTACTCGTATTTAATTGTCATTTTCGCCTTGTTTTCCATACGGCTGTGGTCCGTCCTGTCGGGTGTAAACGGAGGTGCACGGGGCGCTCTAACAAGAGATAAGTTGTGGAAAGGTTAAGCTCGGCCTCGTAGAACAGCCGCGGCTCGTAAAAGGCAAGATGGCCTAAAGAGCAGAGATTATCCAGAAGAAAAACAAGAAGAAGAAGAAGAAGCTCGATCAGATGAGAGGAGGTGGTGATGGAGCAGGAGCATCAACCTGTGCACAGCCTAAATCACAAGTTGCTGCTCACAGCGGTTAGTTTGGAGCTCTCACTTCATTCCGCGCTCACCATAAAAGACGCCATTACCCGAATTTAATTTATTTAGATTTTACAGCACTGACACAAGAGGCCCAAATGTTTCCAGCACCAGCCCCGAAATTACGCACGGCGTCGCGTTAAATCAGCTGATCTTCCAGCGGACTTTCTGAGGAGTAATTGCTGCAGTATTTCCCGATTTATGACCTCAGAATATGATCTTATTGGAACTTCAGCGCCGTGTTTTACACTTCCAATAAAGAGTTTGCTTATGAGCTCTGTTGACTGAATGTGGTGCGTTAAAAAAAAGAAAGAAGGGAAAAAAAGTGACTGTTTTTGATCAGTTTCCTCCTGAACACTGTCCAACACGTCCCTGCTGTCAGACCGGACCGCTGACCCGGAGCAGCGTGAAGCCTGTTAGCGGCAGGATTCACTCACTGGGGCAGAAACACGCGGCCTCGGTGGGCAAGTTGCAGAGCTCAGAGCAGAACATTTACCTTCACACTCACCGCAAATGCAATTTGGAGCCAGAAACACTAGATTTCACTCCTCACGTCCTTAATGCGTCACGTCCACTGCGTCAAAGCTCCCCACGCTGACACTGATTAGAACATCTTCACTCGGGGGGGACTGTGGAGAATTGATTGGACTTGCAGCACTGAAGGCCTCTTTGCATGTGCTTGTCACATTTTCTTTTCTTACCTGAGACAACAGTGTTTCTGGCACCAGTACGCACAAACCTCTCCGAGCCCCAGGCAGCAGCCTGCATACCAACCAGAGCAGAGAGAGAGTCAAGGTGCGTGCGTCCTTCATGTCGTTTTCTTTCTTTTTTTTCTTGCACCGGGAAAAATAAACATTTCCTGGCAGACTATACGTATCCTGCATGCCTATGGGTTATTATTTTCCAAGGCCTCAACCCTTCCTCTTCACCGGTTCGGTGTTAAAACGACCTACAGCAGCTTCAGATGTCAGGATGTTCTAAAGCAAAGTCAGAAAGTGGCCTAATCACCTCACTTCTTCTTAAAAATACCCCCTTTAAAATACATTAAAAAGAGGAATAGGCCCAGTTTCTCCCCCCTTAAAGGAGCCTCCGAGTGCGCGCGTCTCCCACGATGGCAAACCGAGCCTCAGGCCGGAGCCGGTCCATCGGTGGAGCAAGAGCGCCATCAAGCGGCCATCGGCGGTAGTTCCCCCAACGGTGGGAGGAATCCGGCCTGTAATGCGGCTTTATGGTTCTATTAAGTCCGCACACATAAAGCTAAATAGGCGGCTTTAAAATGAAACTGCGAGGTGTAATTGGAAGCCCGGGTTGGGATTTGCTGGAGGAAGAAAAGAGGCCTGTGGCGCGGAAATAAAAGCAGGAAGAATCCAGTGAAGCCTGTTTATCTGATACGCTGAACACGTTTAAAGGTGTTTACGGTTTATTCCAACTAGTTCAGACTCTGTGATGAAAGAAAACAGTGAAGGAAAAGAGAAGGAACAGGGTGGACTGAGGACATCAGCTCATGTGCAGCCGGTTTTATTTTCATCTCAAGCAAACCTACAAGTTTAACAAAATCTAGAGGCATGGAAGCTCAAAATAAACAACAACAAAAAAACACGAAAAAAAAACGAAGAAAAAAAATTAATTTATACATTTGAAAAGTTGGGTCGCCCATTTGTTTATAAGTTTAATGTGAAATAAGCGGAACAACGCTGCTAACACTGTAAAACACACTTTAAAATATATTTAATGTACATTTATATAAAATGTGAGATTTGTTCAGTAGTGTTCCATTTCTATTTAGAACTTTACATCTTTATGTGTAATACTTTAACATGTCCGGATTTATTTCCTTCTAGTATTTACTTATCATTTGGTGTGTAGTACTTTTACGCACAAACACATAAATATATAATTTATATATCATAACACAAATTATTTATAATGCAGTCTTTAAATTAAGTTGATAAATTAGAAACAACACAGAGCGGAGGTGTTGTGATGATATAAATTAATGATAAAAATTAAATGAAAAGCAGCTTAAATATTATTACAAAGAATTAATAAAAAGGTTACTGGGGTTTATTATTATTATTATTATTATTATTATTATTATTATTTGTATTTTTGGTTTTTAGGTTGTGTTTAAGTCTTTTCTGAAATTTTTAGAAATCTCTGCTCTGTGGAAAGTAAACAGAAGAAAAGGAGAGCTGCTGTAAAGTGTGTTTGTGCTGCAGACAAACCGCTTTATTACCGCAGATGATCGCTGCTTTTATGTTTTACGTCACTCTGAGGAGAGGGTGTGTGTGTGTGTGTGTGTGTGTGTGTGTGTGTGTGTGTGTGTGTGTGTGTGTGTGTGTGTGTGTGTGGCTAAATTACAGGCTGTAAACAGACTGTAAAAAGCGGTTGTTACCATTATCTACAGAGACCTGCAGCCTCACTCTCACCTCAGCGGAGACATGAAGCCACGTTACGGTGAGAACCCGCAAATAGCGCGAGATTAAAACCAAGAAACGATAACACGCGTGTTATAATAAGAAAATAATGAGAGTGAATCCCCCCCTAAGACTACAACTATTTCCACAGAGGGTTCAACTACATGTGGATGTTCCTCTTCCTCCCCCCCACCCCCCGCCGCGCAGGGCCAAACCCAGGGGCCCCGCCGTGCCCTCCAGGCCGGAAAAGAAGCCTGAGAGGCGGCCACAACACCTCCTGTCTGCCGGGCTCTGCTGTCTGCGTGTTTTTTTTGGTGGCTGAGTTTATGGCCCCGGCTGTAAGGATGCATCTGAGATAGACAAAGGGGAGGTCGGATAGGACACACACACACACACACACACACACACACACACACACACGGAGAGGCTGCAAAATACCCCCATAGAGCCAAACGGCTACAAAACCATAAAACTCCCAAAGCTGAAAAGAAAAGGAGGAGGAGGAGGAGGAGGAGGAAGCTCTGTCTTCCAGGAGCGGCTGGGTTTGTATCAGACCTCGCTGCTCCTCCAGGCCGCTCCAGCGCCGCTCCAGCGCCTCTCTGAAGCCTCCACAGTGTTCATATGTGGGAGCTCATTGAAGCCTTTGCACTAACATTTGGCCTCTCCCTCTGCCTTCAGCTAATATCACTCCATTTATAACCTCCAGATAAATTATCAAGCGGGGGGATTTGAAACTTTTCCTCTAATAGGCCTATTTCCTCTCTGCGCGCGCCCCTCTTCTCCTTCTCTCCGCGTGTTTGCTTTACAGCCGTTTAGTTCTTAACCTTCAGAAATTTATACGCTATAAACTTTTATTGCCGTCATATTCTTTTATTGCGCCGCACCGCATTGGA